TTTTTTTTATTGACAAAGCAGCGCAGTGAGGGCAATAAATGAACGTATGATTCAGCTGTAATGGCATTCCCTTGTTGGAGTCATAATTTATTTCACTTTTTTCGCCTAGTTTGCCGGTTAACTTTACACCGGAGGTCGGGAGTAATTTATTTTAAATATTTTACTAGAATATTTTAATTATGGTTTTATTGTGGCCGCTGGATCTGCGTTTTGATAACCGATTGCTGGAACATTGAAACAACGACAACATCCAGTGAGGCGACCCTTGGAGTATTCGAGAGAAAAATTTTGTTGAATATTTACGGACACGCAGACGATAGAACGATGAGCTGTAGAAGCTTTACAACGATATAGATATTGTTCGGCGAATTAAAATACAGTGGATTTGCTGACTTGGTCATGCCATTCGAATGCACACAATCTACTCCAGCCCTAAAAATATTCAACTCGGAACCCGCTGCTGGTTGCAGGGGAGGAGCGCGGCCTTCTTTGCGATGGAAAGGCCAGGTAGAGAAGAATTGACACACAAGAGAAACGACTGGTGTGCTTTATTGTACTCGAAGAATGTTTACGCATTACAGCACCAAAAAGGAAGAAGAAGCAGAACGGTTCTGGTAGACGTCAGATGCACTATGCCTCTAAATGAGGTCTAAGAGTTAGGGTGTCTAACCACCTGCCAATGATTAAAACTTTTGGTCTCAACTCTGATGTTCCCTATAGAAGAGACTCTGAACCTTACATTGTTTTAGGCAACGAAGATATTATAATCTTGATTAACGACGGAATTAATTAAGTTTATGTGTTTTGGCCGTTTAGCTGTGATAGTTTTGCCTTCCTACTGTGTAACATACAGGCCTATCATCAATTCCGTCGGAGATCCCGACGTGTCATCGCTATCATGAATTCCGTCTTGATCACGGAATTCTCCCGCAAATTCGAAATTCGGGAGAATGGTGATTTATTATATTTTGATTTAGAATTATTAAATCAAAACATAAAAACAAACAAAAACCAAAGGCAGCGCTAACTACGAATGCGTCAGAATTGCTGGCAGCATTTCTCCCGAATTCGTGACGGGAGATTTTTTCACGACGGGAGTTCATTCGGAATCTGTGATAGGCCTGATAACGTATTTCTTATGAGTTCTCGATTATATTACTGCTAACTACATATGAAATCAACATTTTAATGTATTCAAAAAGTTCCAATAATTTCATATTAAAACACATTCATTCATTTCTCGATACTAGATAATGCAAAATTAAATGCCCCACTTTCTTAACATCAAAGTGATGATATATGTAAAACGTCGATCTTAATTTTAATTTTTCTGAATTCGAAAAGGCATCTGCGAAGTGCATAAAATAAGCGTATTCAAAGTAATTTCTGTATGAGAATATTTAGATCGAAACTTGTTTAAAGTAAAACTAACTTCCTATAACATCTGCATAACTTTACAATCCACTTTAAGTTAGGTTTTCATAGCTAATTAAAAATGAGGTATTTATCGATTGATATTTTTTTTCTGCTGGGTACTTTTATATAAATACATGCATACATGCATAGATATGTACATATGCACATACATAAATTCTGTAGGGGTGGGGCACTCACGGCATGCTACGTGGTATGTTCTGGCGTTACACTTCATTGCATTGTGACCTTTACAAGAAAGCAGCTAAGTACAGTGCGCTTCACAAGAATATGGCATGAAGTTTTGGTCGTGGTTGTCTTTATGTACATATGTATGTATGTAAATACATTAGAAAGAAAAACCCTGCAATGCGACCGCAACCCGACTTAAATTTAAATATTTGGTAAAGTAATGATCATTCGTTAATCTGCCCTCTCTCCGATAATTTTAAGGGGTCGCGCATCGAGTGTTTATTTTGTTCCGTAAGAATAAGATTTAAGAATGTGAGTTCTTCTATTTTGAAGTCAATAAAATTTTCTAGAATCAATAAAAACATTCGCTCTGGTTTCAGAATCTTCCATAAGTCATTTAACTTTCTGGTAAAAATTTCCTCACACTCGCGTACATATTTTGGCCTTTTTCTTCATATTACGGAAAATACATCTTGTTTCCCTCTTCAGCACTCCTTGAGGTATCAGTTGTTCTTTCGGGCTTCGTGGAATCTAACTAATTCTTCGTTGAAATAAGACAGTAGTTTGAATCGATGTTTGGTCCTCGGAGCGTGCGTACATCCAATACACTGGAAGCGTCCCTTCAGTCTATTACAACTTGATCGATTTGGTTTCTCATTTTTCGTTCTGCAGTAGTACTTTCTACGTTCGCCGTGGTTGTCATCAATAAGAAGAGGGTCCGAGCGAGGAAAATTTGGGCGTTTCATTGGTAGTCTTTTTTTTTTGCGTAGCGGGTTCCAAGCTTAGCAAACAACCAACTACTGGGGTTTGCCTTCTTACATTTGCACACTTCCAAGCCGGTGTTCGGTTGCTGCCCAGAGAGTATTTGGTAACAACCAGAAGATTGAACAACTTTTTCGAGAAGTTTCATTTTAACCTTAAATTTAGAGTACATTCTTGGGAAGTACACTGTGCTATGTGTCGCAATGTACTCACTAGCGCGTTAGTTCGTTAATGGCCCTTGAAAACGTAGTAAAAGTGAGCTGCTGTTGCACTAAAACAGAAGCCATTCTCGGCGGCTCAAGCTAGCCAACTCCAGAGAGAAAATCATTTGCCGATATTGCCGTAATGACTAGTAAGCCCAGCCTGCCACGCCTTAACTGCTTGACNCAAACGTAGTAAAAGTGAGCTGCTGTTGCACTAAAACAGAAGCCATTCTCGGCGGCTCAAGCTGGCCAATTCCAGAGAGAAAATCATTTGCCGAAATTGCCGTAATGACTAGTAAGCCCAGCCTGCCACGCCTTAACTGCTTGACAACGCAATACAATCATCCTTCATGCAGAATTCCGCTCGGGAATACCGGCACATTGTTGATGGTTTTTTTTTGCTTAATTTTTTTAATGGTTTTCGGAACGCGGGCCTTGGCAACGCGTGTTCACTCAATCACTCACTCATTCAAGCGTTTATTTTTGGTAATTCGGGCGCACGTGTGCATGCAGAGCGTACTATTAGGGTGTAAAGAAACAAAATAAAAAATTGAAAAAAGTTTAGGGAACGCAGTGCTGGAAGCGCACACATTCACACACACCTAAATGTATGTATGCACATATATACAACATAGGTATGCATTTAGGCAGCATAAGCTAGCGTAACAGATGTGCATCAATCAGTTGCAGTTGCACATCACATTTGGCTTTGTTAACGGCTTTGCTGTTGTTATTATTTTTCCAAGAGCAACAACAGTTTTTCATACATGACAATGCTAGCCTCTTTTACCACGTCGAAATAATTGTAAATATTTATTAGCAACGCATTTCAGTACTGCCTTATCGCACCCTCGAATAATATAGAAATAATCATATACATATATGTATGTGTGTTAGGGTGGTCCTTAAAAATATTAAGTTCATGGGAGCACCTCTTTATTTTATTCTAGTTATGTAAAAAAAAATAAAGTCATACACGCAAATTTCTAAATAAAAAAATCAGGTATACCTAGCAACCGGGGTTTGAAATTTTTTTTAATCTAGCGAATTCGACAAAATTTTGACATTGGCCAGCTATAACTGGGCGAGTTTGGGAATTTTTATGAGTACCTTTCGATGTGTAAAATTTATCAGATTTTAAGTAAAATTGTGGAGAATTTTTTATGTAAATTTTTTCAAACCCTGGTGGCAACCAATAAATTTTTAATTTTAAAATTTTCGTGGGTGTATTTATTTTGAATAAAAAGTTTCGATGTTGATATTTTAAGGACCACCTACGTACAAAATAGACATCCACGAAAATTTCTAAATTAGGAAAAATATATCAGGTATCGCTACCAGGGTTTGAAATTTTTGTTTGAACAGAGAAAATTCTACAAAATTTTGACTCTGACCACCTACGTATTAATAATTCAGCGAGTTTAGGAATTTATATGAATATGTTAAAAAAAAAAACGTAATGTTTTTCAGATTTTAAATCAAATTGTGGTAGAATTTTCGCGATTTTTTTTTTAGTTAAATTTTTTTCAAACCCTGGTGGCAACACCTACATTTTTTATTTTTATTTTTTTTCTTTGATATCTTTATTTTATTTTAAGAACCACTCCAATGTATATACAATAGTAGATGCATAACTTTAACATATATTTACGCATTATGCACTTATTTAACTGACATTAGTTGTTAGCTACTCGTATCTAGCTATCCATTACCCACAGATTTTGTCACAACTTTTGTTTTCATCTATGTATGTATTCATGTTTTGCTCGTATCATCGTATCGTATCCGTAGAATGCACTTCACCACAATGCCAAGAGGAGCTAACACCAATCGGTGTATCGGCCGTTGCACTGTTGCCATTGCACACCAGTTCACCCGAGCGTCGCATTACACAGAAAGAAATCATTGCCGGCGAAGAGCGTCCCAAATATGTGCTCCAATCGCAGTATAAACCATCGCCAGGTATGAAATGAAATATGAACTCATTTATTTACATACTTACATACATACATTAAATATGCATTTAGCAATTTTCATACATAGGTAATTTTGTAGTTATTACTAATGTAAATATTATAAGTACACAAATATGCTCTGCATTGTACATATACAGTCAGCGTCAAAACTATGCATACCCTGACATTTTTATGATTTATTTATTTATATTTTCGATTCCAAATTTTTCTTTTTTTTTATAATAAAATTGTTCATTTAACTAGCTATTTGTTGTACTCAAATTTAACGGGCTACAAAATTGCTTACTAAAATACTAAGAAATGGAATTAAAATTAAAAATGCCGATGAAAATTTCTTGGTATTTCTTGCATTTTTCCGAGTGCTGTGTGAAATAAAAAAAAATATTCTGGTGGTTTTTTCTGTTGAGTGAACTATATTTTTATAAAAAAATAAGAAAAATTTAGTATATAAAATATAAATAAATAAAATCGTCAAAACGTCAAGGAAAGCATATTTTTGACGCTGACTGTATAATGTCTATGCTTTCATCCAAATTATTTCCACTGCTTCCATTTGCTTATGCACTATTATTATTATTATTGCTTTGAACAGCGCTTACAAACCAACATAAATTTACATTCATATGCATTAGACCGTACCACCTTACAAGCAAATAAAAAATAGTTTCTCGTACGCCCCTGAGTTCAAAGTATTTTTGCAGGGAAATTTCGATTTTTTTGCCGAACATTTTTTGGGGACACTAAAATCAAATATTGCCTTCTTGAGAAAAGAAGAAGATATGACGAAAAATGTAAAAAGGCGACCCCTATGTTTGGCCATAAAAAATCGAAATTGCTTTCGAATCAAAATACTTCCTTACAAGAAGTTCAAAAATGTTTAGCGAGCTTTAATTTACTGACATTAGGGTGATGAGCACCGAGATTTGTTGGGTAAATATTGGAACCGGGGTACTTGCTGCCAATGGACTTTGTAACAAAAACAAATTTCTCCTCGAGACTAAAACATCGATACATCATACTTTAAGTTCCGATTACAAATGCAGAAGATACGACGAAATATTTAAAAAGACCACAAAATTTTTTTTTTTTAATTTCCTTGCAAAAATATTTTAGATTCGAGGGGGTACGCGAACTTTTTTTTGCCGCACTGCATTAAATCAACGATTTAGTTGATGCGCGAGTTGTATTTCAGTAGAAATTTCCCATCATTCTTTTTCAAATTTGGTTTGGAGACTACGCAGTTTCGTTTTGTCATCTTCAGTGTCATTTTTCTTTCTGATACAGAGAATTTATATCAGCCAGCAGATATGAGTATGGAAATAAGTTTTGAGATTTTTTTTTGGTTTTTTTTTGGAAAAAATTAGTAAAATTAATATATTTAATTCCAAATGATACCGATTATTACCTGCGAATTTTCTTCATCCTTCCGGCATACTGATTCTGCGTAAACAAATCCCTGACTTCTATGACTATTCATTCAGCTCATTTTTAAATTTAGCTCCAATACGAGAAGACTTCAAGATACATTATCAGTTACAGAATTCAGAAACTTCATCTTCTTGTTGACACACGACACCCACGACAGGGAGTCGCTCTACCTGAAATCTGGTTTGTATCAATCGGCTCGGAGAGTTCTTTACCAATTCTGACGGAGCTGATGATGCCGTATTAGGCTCACAGGGATACTAAATTCAGACATCGCGGCATAAAGGCAACGTCTTTGCGAGTATCGATCTTCCTTTCCAAGAACTGGCGTATGATGAATACCCGGTTCTTGGTGGATTTGCCTAGTCTACAGCCAATACCCTCGATGAGGCCATATATCCGGTGCTTAAAAGGCTGATGCCGAAGTGGCTTTCGCATATGGCGGGGTGTTCTTTCTTATGGATTGTTGTGCATAGCCCACTTAAATTTCTGCCACCGGACATTCGTTCATCCGATTATATTTTGTATAAGAGTTGATGCATGCGCCTTATCTACTCCTCACCACTATTCTCGAATAGCTCAGAAGGCAAACCGTCAGCTGTAGGTCATTCCTCGTCATAGGCGGGCGATGGAATTCTGTCGTCCTTGCCTGGGGACTCGAGTTTTCCTTTGTACAACATACTCGATTTGGTCTCTCGTCTTTTGACATGGAGACATCCATGTAATACTGGAACCTGGTACCGCAGACTAGCATGTTTCGGGCGCCGGCTAAGTGGATCAGCCTTATTTCGTTATTGGACGTTTCGTTGTCTAAGCAAAATTCCCGAAAGTGGAACCAAAGTAGCCTTCCATGCTCATACTGACAATTAAGTCGCCAAACACGATTTCGATGTCGTGATGGGCGCAGCGCTCGTATATGCGCTCGAAGCGCTTACAAAAGACCTTTCTGGTTCTTATCTTTCGATGGGACGGGGTTCGAAAATTAACGAAATGCTGGAGAATCTCGTTTTGATGTGGATAGACGCGGGACGTTCGTTAACCGGATGGCGGTAATGACAGCGTTATGGCGTTTTTTTTTCCTACAACAAATACTGCCTTCTTTGTTTAAGGAGGGCGTTGAGAAGGTTACATTTTGCGGTGGAAAAGAAAACACCATTAGTCTTCACGTTGCTACCAAGCAGCCGGGCGAAAGTGCCTTCCCCATTAAGGGTCTCGACATTCCAGGTGCAAACCCTCAAATCGTATTCTTTGGTGCCTTTGCCGTGATATTCATTGCATTGGAGTTCGTCTTTACGTTTCGGGCCTTAAACTCAGCGCACAACCGCAAACTGAGCAAATTTTTTTTAAGAAAATACATATTTATATAGCGAGCCTATTGCTCCAAAACAGTCATCCGCTTGCAGACGCGCTTCATATTGAACAAAAGCGGCAGACTTCAGGGGACCCTTAAACCAAATACGTCACGGTAGCCGCACAAAAGCTGCCTCTCTGTCTGCAGTGCCCCAAGGCCGTCGGATCGGTTACTACATCTCGCGTGAGTCAAAAGGGCACCGACGCATACCATTCCGCTGCAGTTCTTTGTATAGCACTTTTGCAATCCAACAACCTGCAAATGCTTTGGCAGTATTAAATGAGTTTGCCGATAGTTTTAGTTTGCTTTGCTTTTCCAAATGCGCATTTTTGTAGAATATTTCGCGATTTCATAAAATATTAGTTTTATGCTGTATATAAGCGCTCAAGCATTAAATTGCATACACAAGCATATTACCATAAATGAACCATTTATGTATATGTAGGAGAGTTGCATTTCTAATTTCGCATAACGCTATGACCACATTTTTGCATTCCACTGCATGAACTGAACTGCAAGCATTTTCATCAAACGCGCAATTCATAGTAAATACGAATGTATTTAGTGCCAATACATATACATATGTAGATACTCGTAATGTTTGTTTGTATGTATGTAATTTTCATTATGCTGCCAAATCACATTCGTGTTCGTTGTGTGGGCGATCTACTACCAATGCGTTCGTATGACGTGAATCTAAACTACGCTTATGTCTGTGTCTTCACCACGCAACGCAAAAACCAAAATCTCCAAAATGTTTGTCACTTTTGCGCGCTTCTACTTAACTCCAACTGAACTCATTACTAACAAATTTTCAATAAATAAAAACCGAATATCAATTTCTTACTAACACAAAAAAAAAATTACTAACAAAAACTAAAAAAATGTACATGTAATTGTGCTGTATAATTATGTTGTAATCCTACTTGACTTGATCGCATATTTTGTAATAAAGTCAAAGATAGAAAGGATAATCGCTTGAATGCTACGAAAAATAAACGTTTTGTTGTTGAAACTATTACCACTATGACTACAGTGACCGAGCGGCGCATTGTGCGTGAGGCCAGCGAGGATGTGACGACCGGCGCGGATCTCTTGCCGCCAACATTGCCAACAAAGCCAAGCGCCGCTGTTAGTGGCGGTACTGCCCAACAGCAGCAGCCACAACAAACGTCTAACGCAGGCGGTGAAGTCTGCGATGAGGAAAAACCGCCACCTATACCACCAAAGGAGTCATCACTCACACAAATTAGCGGTATTCTGAAGGGCGGCAAATTGTGGAAACAGGACTCAATGTCACAGGTAAGTGATTGAAGAAAGCGGTAAAATTATGTAAAATATATTACAACATTCCCTTCGAACAAAAGGTACTATCGCAATAAAATTGGAACAAAATTCACCGAAACGTTCTGGCAAAGAACAAAACGGGAACAAAAGTCTCTAAGGAACTTTCTCTCTAAGAACTATTTGAGAACGAGAGTTTCTGGAATGTTCCGATAGAGAACGAAACGGGATAAAAACTTCCTTGAACTATTGGCGAAGAATAGAAGCGAGAACAAACATTTTCTTATAGTACTGCATTGGATTGAAATGTTTGAGTATTAAAATTAATCAAAAAAGTGCTTAAAGATAAATATGCAAATTAAGTCAACGAAAGACTTAAGGCAGGAACTTATCTTGCAAAGAAGATGAAAAATTATTTTAATATTAAAATGGACAGTTCACCCTAATGATAAACGATCTGGAAGTTGAAATGATCCAAGCTTTCCTCTGGCTTAGAACTAACAATCATGGTTCTCACTGAAACGATTTTTCATCCCAACAAGCAGACGCGCCTCGCACTCTGAACGTTAAGTTCTGAAAACTTTTGTTATCGTTTTGTACTTTTGTAGCAGATCGCTCCCCAGACTTTTGTTCTTATTTGATTCTCCTCGAAAACCTTATCCATACTTTCGTCTTTTTTTATTACATTTATCTGAAGATAGTTTTTGAAACTAAATTATTATTTGTATCTTTCTCTATCTATCTCTCTCTCTCTCTTCGATCATCTCATTTCAGTCCGATGACCAGAATAACACCACTTCCGAGGATGAAGGTGGCACCACAAAGCGTTCGGTGCGTTTTGTTACTGAAGATTTGGCCGTTGACGGCGAGGGTCAGACAACTGGCGACGCCGATGAAGGGGAAAATCAGATAAATGAACTCATACCGATCAAGAAACATTCCACATTATTTAATAACGCATTACGTCCCAATTCCGCCGTACGCCAGTTGTTCCCGAGCGTCGCTCACCAAACACCGGTGCTCACCTCAGAAGCATTACGAGCATTTGACGAGTCCAAGCGTGCTGGTTGTTTGGTGCCAAATCTACCCGGCTGTGGTGATACGGATACGCTAAGGCGTAGCATTGAGCGCAACATATTGCGACGATCGTTGATCAAGTGAGTACAAACATATCTTTATTGCCTTATTTTCTGATCGTCTTCACACATTTTAAATGCAATACACTTTGCTTTACCCCCTTCTAAATGTCAGGAAAAAGGCCGTCAAATCGGATATTTCGCTTGAGGAGCGCATTAAACAGTTGACCTGCGACATTGATGAAACGAATGAGGATAGCGCTGCGGAGAACGGTGATGAGGAAAGCTCGAAATTAGCTGCGGAAGCCAACTGCGAATTGATGCATCGCGGCAGTCCTATGGGCGAAGAGAATCCGCAGAAATTTGTCAACGGTAACAGCGATAAAAGCTTTTCGCCCAGCTCGTCAGTTTCGAGCTCATCGAGTGGCTCATCGGCTTATAAGAAGATCTCCGACATATTCAATCGTGACAAGAAGCAAGAAAAGATACTAGAAATGGAAGAGAATCCCATAGTTATAATACCTCAGGTAAAAAAAAATTTTTTCAACCAGCCCACTTATACACATTTAAACAAAAAACAACATAAACTCAACCTTTTAGGAATGCCGCTGCCCGGCCGCACCCGATCTCGGCATGGGCATACAAGTACCCGTCGTACATACCCAAATTCATCGCACACCACCACGTCAAGTGGAGCCCAAACGTCAATTCCTCTCCACACTAGCACCACTAACCGCATGTGTGGCTGGCAACAAGGACGATCTTTCATCCTACTACACCTTGGCTGCGGCACATCATAGCGGCCATGCGGCCAATAATGCACAATTCGCTGAATTCAATTTGGGTGGTGCCAATTTGAGCGAACAGACAGGCGGTGGTAACCAGGGCGGCAGCGGTGGCGGTGGTAGTGGTAATGGTTGCGGCGGTGCTACCGATGAAGTACGCAAGGTGGCGCCCGATGTCATTGCTGGCACGCCCGGACAGGAGCAGCAAGATGAATTGGCAGCATTTGCACAGCAGGAAGCCAATCGTACGGAAAAGATTAAAAAGCGCTACACCAACGAAAACTCCAACAATAGCTCTGACGATGATGAGCAAAATGATTATGGCTTTAATAAACGCCCTTCGGTGCGCGGCATCAAACCGAAGTTTAGTTCCACCAATGAGATTTTACAACAAATGCAGGAGCAATTAAATCAGCAGATGCCAAGCGTTGCTGTGGGACAGGTAAGTTGGGGTATTGGTGGGTCGGTGAGAGGGTGTGTGTGTATAATTGAGAGTGTGCGCTGCAACCCTGGGCCTCGTCTAGCTCTAAACCCCTAATGAAACTCAGCAGTTTTCGAGGTAGCACTAAATGAATATGCGTAGCTTCTGACTACAGCTCGCCCAAATGTAGTTTTCTTCTTCTGGTGGCCGCATCGTATTCCAGGTAACGACATGAATCGTCTAAGCTAAATGACAGGGTGTTCAGGTGGACTCAAGACCTCCTATGACCGCTCAGTATGCCTGTTATATGCCTTAAGCTTGTTTTTAGCTTCCAAAATTTCTTTGAGCTGCAACTTCCAATTAGGTTTTGTCCTGCCATGATAGTATGTGGGCCTGCAGCCGGGTAGCTACTGCTTCTCTTGTCATTCTCTTCTGACCCGGTATCTACATCATTTGAACAGTGTTATGTTCTCTTAAAGTGTTCTATTTCTATATACGCCCGACATTTTGTAATCTGTGTACCACCTTTGTTTGTGTGACCGAAATGTGTTTTCTAGAATAGTCCGAGCTCAGGCAGCTTTGCATTTATCAGAGATTCTTTCCTTGGCCATACCATCGCGTTGAATAAGAAGATGGTAATCTTGGTTTTGATTTTATCTCCCCCTGTCTGCCTTTGCTAGTGTCCTCTTTAGTGAAGTTTATTGCAGTCTGTTGTATGAATATTGGTAGCGGTGTCGGGTCAAGGATTACTTCGAAGGCTGCGGTACTTAATTTATTAATTACCTACGTCTGTCGTCGTCTTCAGCTACATTAATTTGTTTCCTTCTGTCGTTTCGTCAAACCTGTTCGTGGCACTACTCCTATCCATCGTTGGTTTGGAGCAACTGTGTTCCCCCTCCTTACTTCCCGGGATTAAAAGATATTGTCCTTTCTGGAGTAGAACCAGCCATAGGCCATCTAACTATGGCGATTTGTATTGCTCGACCATACCCATAGGCCACCGTACAAACGATCAGACAGACGTCTCTCACTCATCCAGGGGCCATCGTTGTCTTCTATCTTCAGAAGAACTAGAGCCTTTTTTTTTATTTATAATTGGTTCTAGTGTAGCTGTTGTCTGAAAATTTAATCGTTACTTCAGCTGTCAACTGTTCTTCTAGCTAAAATCCTAAGGTTTCTGCCTGCCTACGGAGTGGGGGAAATCCCTACGCAGGATTCTATAAAACCTTTCGTTTTTATTTTGCGAATTTGCTTATTGTAGGTAGTCAGGGTTGAGGCGTATTTGTCCCAGCTGCCAGTTTGCTTTTCGCGGTAAAATAGTTTCCTGCTGGTTACGTTGGCAACCAAAGAGATGAAAAAAAATAATGAAATTTGTGTCTGTACTCCGTCTCATTATTACTTCAGACTCCATTCCATTAAACAAAAAGCCAATAGGGACTTATTTACCAATCTCCAAACATCGTGGGAGTTCCTGCGATCTTCATTTGTTTTAAAATTTATATTCCGATAAAGTTGGTAAATTGGCTTTCTAAGTCAAAGCAGATGAATAAGTCCTTTCGTGATTCGAATAAGCCCTGACCGCATAGTTTACTGTAAAGCGCTCAACTCATTAAATTCTAGAAAATTTTGTTATGTAATAAAAAAATTAGCCAGTCAGGAGTTCCACACAGCTATGTACTTGTTATACCAATCATTTTCTTTCGCCTACCGCAGCCCGTCAACCAGGCCATCAAGAGCTACACGCTGCCAAAGCAAGCCTCCACAAGTTCCATGACCAAACAGATCTCACAAAATCCCTCTCCACAAAATGTGCCACATCCTGTGAGTGTTGTACAGCAGCAGCAACAACAGCAGCAACAACAACAGCAGCAGCAGCAGCAGCAGCAACAACAACAACAACAACAGCAACAACAACAACAGCAGCAACAACAACAGCCACAACAGCCACAACCGCCATCTCAAGTGATGGTCGGCCAGCAACAGCAACCACAGCCCCAGGCAGTCCAAGTGCAGGCCAATAGCATCGCCCAACAGCAAACCGAACAGCGCACTTGGAGTTTCTACGCGGACGGCGGTGCTGAACAACACCGACTGCCCATTGAAGGCGCAGGCCTACAACAGGCATACTACCAAACATTGCCAGGTGGTGCAATGTTCCGCCAAACAATTATGCAGCAGGGTCAGGACGAAGCGGCAATGATGTACGCCGCACAAAATTGCCAAAGTGTCACCGCTATTGAGCAGCAACATTACGGCCACTATGCACGCAGTCCGACCCGACGTCCAGAGTCGCCACCACCGCTGCGCAATTACCACCAAACAATGGTGTTGATTCCCTACAACGCACAGACCTACTCACAATATGCCGCCTCCAACATAGATCCGAAAGTGGCGCACATCCAACGCCAAAATATACTGGAGTATCAGCAGGTGGGCACTTAGCCACTCGATGGCGACACTGCTTTTCTACATAATTATGCAACACACTAATGCCATTTGCAATTTGCAGGTAACCCAGCAGACGATTCGTGTTCCCATCGGCTATGCGCTGCCCGGCATGCAGCTTCATGTGATGGCTGGACGTGGCCATGCAGCAGCACACTATGCGCAACATGCGCAACAGGCGGTGGGTGTTGAAGCTGCGGCGGCCGCCCATCCACACCAGCATCCGCATGCACCGCATCAGCGCATCATGGCACAGCGCTATCAGTTCGCACAGGAGGGCAATATACCTGGTTTCAGTGAGCGTGGCGTACCGGAAGGCGCGGCCGCGGTGTCGCACACCGATTGTCACAGCATGGTGTCGCCCACCGCCAGCCAGGCAGCCGCTGTGCAACAGCAATTGCAGCAACAACTGCAACAACAACACCAGCAGCAACAACAACAGCAACAGGCGAACATGGCACAACAACAACAACAGCAGCAGCAAGCAGCACCACCGCCACCCCCGAATGCCGGACAAGCTACTGCGGCCGCCGCCGCCGCCGCCGCTGCCGCTCAAGGTTCCGTCTATTATGCGATGAACGTATGACCCGCGGCCGATTAGTCGGCGCCAACGGCGGCGGTCATTGTGGAGCGCCGTCAGTGTCAACGCGTCGAAATGTCGTCGGTACAGCTGAGCACACGGTAAACTGCAATGGGAACAGGTGGCGGAGCCCGGGGCGGCTCAAATCAATAGGAGAGTTTAGTATTAAGGAAAAAGCAAATTGATGGGGCACATGCAATGTGAGCGCGCGTGGTATGGCAAGAAAATTGGCCATGCCATGCCAAGTAGGCAGGGGTTATTTTAGTAGAAAAGCATAGCATGAATTTGCATGCAACCAACCAGCAACGAGGGAATTTAATTAGAAACGGTTTAGAATTACATAATTGTGTAGTAGTTATAACTATAGTTAAACGTAAATTATTATGAGTGGATTCAAGCATATAAATATTAACTTTAGAAACTGTATACAAAATAAGAAATTAAGGAAGGTCTCTGAACAGCTGGCAAAAATGTGTCATATTCCATTAGAAATTAAAGCTTCCATTCACACATAAGATGGCAGCAGCATTTGAGGGTAAGTGCAGAATAATGTTTTCAAATTGCAAGTGCAGAATACTCACGCTATGCCACACGAATTTTGCGATCTATTAGCAACTCGAATTTTTAAGCCAGGCTAACTTTTTTATTGTAATACTGAGGTCCACTGATTTTAAGAAAATCAAATGGGAAAAATAGCATTGCCAGGTAAAGCAGGTACTGACTAATTTATTCTTTAAGTAAATATAATCGTTCGAAATGCTTCTTTGTAAACTTCTTTTAATTATCAAGATTTTGTCGGCACTTTTCGGAATCCGTCGTTTTTTTTATTTTGGTAATTTTTTGGCATTTTACTGTTTTACTTTGCGGGATTTTTCGAAAACTTTTGGGAGTTTATGGGGATTTTTATATTCTTTCGGCGGTTTTCATGTTACTTCGTGTTTTATTTGTCTTCTTCTTTCGGGAACATTTGGGACTTTTATGGGACTCTTAGTTATATTTCTTGCTTTAGTTTTCAATATGGTTAGAGACGTTTTCGGTAACCCTTCGCGTTTTTCCGGTATTTTCTGGCATTTTCGTTTTTTAATTTGCGAGATTTTTGGGAACCTTTGGGACGAAATGGGGATTTTTTGTTTTGTTTTCAACGGTTTTCTGGTCACTTCGTATTTTAGATCTTCTTTTTTCGGGAAGTTTTGTGCCGTTTACGGGACTATTCGAAATTTTTTAGGGACTCTTAGTTATATTTAGGTTAAAGGTCTCAACTTTTCGGAAATATTCGTGTTTTTTCCGTGATTTCTTGCAATTTCGTGTTTTACTTTGCGGGGTCTTTCGGAAACTTTTTTGTTTAATTTTACGAAAACTTATGGTAGTATTTCATGTTTTATTTTTTGGTACCGTGCGGAATGGTTTAGACCTACATAGCTGTATTTTGTGTTTCTTTTCAGGATTTACTGAGACTTTTTTTTCATAACTTTTGAGAGTTTTCAGCACTCAAATTTTTTCGGGTGCTTTCCGGACCAAAAATTGCATTTATATTTTTGCTTTGCTTTTTATGAAAAAAAGCCTGAAAAAATAAACATAAAATAGTCTGGGTGTCCTGCTCGAAATTATAAATTCAAAAGTCAACTAAAATTTGTTGCTTTTCGTATTGCGCAGTCGTCGCACAGTGGTTCCCAAAGCTGTAAAGCTTTAATTTTTCAACTGATCTACAATTATAAAAAATAAACAGATTTTTTGCCACTTGAAACATGCACTTGACTATTTTAAAATTTAATTTGCTATAAAATCGCACACCTAAAATTGTTCTAAAAATTCTAAAAAAAAAAAAATTGGAATTTCTGGAGAAATTTTATATTTTAAACTATAACTTTTGCAATTTTTTTCATTTTGGAGAAACCTTATAATTGTTTTCAACCCGCTTTTATTATGCAAAATTTATTTACAAGAGCGGGAGAAACGATTGCCTTCAAAATTGCTGCTTTCTCTATACATTGCGCGCAAAAATTTAATATATATGTACGCATATGTAAGCATAAACAAATAGAATTTCAAAAAGCGGGCTCGACAAATTTCTTATAAATTCTATTAGCTTTCATTAAAAAAAATTTTATCATATCCGTTTCAAAATGAATTTTGAACACTAAATTCCAGTTTCGCCCACGGCCTGTTAAAAATGCAGCGACATACTTTACGATTTTTAAAATCAGCGGACTTCATTTTATATGTATAAAAAATCAATTGTATTAGGTCACAAAATTTTTAAACTTTATTGCATAGTGCGACTTGAGGGATTGCGGAAAGTTTTTTTTTGTAACGAAAATAAAACTAATTGGTTGATTCACTACAAAACGCACACAAATATAATACTCTTTAAAAAGGGCAACAACAGCAAAAGTGCAATTTCAAACAATAATAACAACAAAAGCAACAACGTTTTTATACCAAAATTTAAATTGGCAAAAGAAATTAAGAAACTAAACAAAAAAAAACACAAAAATAAAAGTACATAATTTGAAATCTATAACATATATATTAAATATAATCTAAAATGTACTTAGCATTAATGTTAATGTATTTATATATTAACATACATATACATATAATGTATGTATGTATGTATATGTGCTTTATTGTAAAAAAGTAGTCATTATTTAATATTAATGCAATGTATTGTGTACTTAAATGTAGCTATTAATTTCAGTACGATTAAGGAGCACATTTACTTATTTGATTGTGTAAACTATCGTTTTGTCGGATATTTGCAATCGGTTTATTGCTTTTAAAAGCTACACAGGTAATTATCGCGTGTATGGACAGCTAGTTAGTTAGTTCGTGCTTGGCTGTAAGATAACAAGAGACACTGCTTTAAAATGGCTCTCCTGAACTTTTTGGAGCCTACCGGAATAAAAGATGTGTTGTGATGAATGGTGGGTACAATATACCCATACCTCTTCAATTATCTATCTAAGTTTTGCATTGGACACCCGCTAATTTTGTTGTAGTGTGTAGATTTTCAGCTTAACTATTTACACTGTCCGACAAAAATAAGCTTTTTGTTACACCCATGAAAAAATCGAGCATTTTCGGAAAGTAGAGACTAAGAAAGTATTTCGCCGTTTCTACGGGGAAACCCACCCTTAACAACCCCTATGCTGAAAAGGTCAATAGAATATTACCTTGTAATTTTTTAAACTTTATTAAACTTCGTATATAAAGGGCGTGTGGATTTGCCGATTACGAATCTGAAACTCAAAATGAAATGATGAATTGAAAACTCAAAATGGCGCATCCAATATGGCGGAGGGATTTAAAAAAAAAGTTCGGATTTTTTTGAAATTTGTTGTCCGGAAATTCTTTGAGTCGTTGATTACAAAAATGAATACAGTTTTACGAAATTCAAAATGGCGTATCCAATATGGAGGATGGATTAAAAAAAAAATAGCAGATTAACAAAGATTCTGTGAGTCGCTCATTACAAAACTGAAAGCAATTCTCAAAAATAACGGATGGATTTTTAAAAATATTTTAAATTTTTATAAAATTTTATATCCAAAGATTCTTTAAGTCGCTGATTAGAAAACTGAAATCAGTTTTTAAAAATTCAAAATGGCAAATAGAACATGGTGGAACGAATTTAAAAAAATGTTCAGATTTTTATGAAATTTGGCATCCACTCTGACACTTTTTTTTACAAAGCCATCTACCATATTGGATCCACAATTTTGAATTTAGAAAACTGACTTCGGATTTGTAATCATTACACAAAAATTACAAGGCGCGGCAAAATACTGTACTGTACGGTACGATTTTTTGTGCTACTTTCCAAAAATGCTTAATGTTTTGATGGGTGTCATCAATGCTACACAAATTGGTTAAGAATTTCGTTTAAAAAGTCTTTAAAAAACAGTGCATCATATGTATGTACATATGTACATATGTATGTATGCAATTACTAGATCGATTGAAGTCTCTCAAAATCATAGAGCTACATGCTGTGTTTGCATATTCGAAGTTACAAATTCATACTACGAGCATATTTTGAAGACGATGAGTGGTAACAATAAACAGGGCTTCTTACTTATCTGCAGTTTATTTGTTTCTTTTAACTAGACAGCAACCTCCCTTAACGCATTCGCTCCAAACTTAACGAATGTTGCACACAAACTACAACCGATATTCCAGCGCGCGTTTAAAAAAAGTTTTCCATTGCATACATGTGCACATAAAAGCAAAATGAGCTTCCCAAAACACTTTCCAAAGATTTAAACAACTAATTTCTGTTTAGTAATATTTAAGTAAGTTAGAAATAAATACATACTTATGTATGAAGAATTAAGCGATTTATTTACGTGCGTATAGGAAATCGTGGCGGCCGCCATAGTCGAGTGGTTAGAGGTGCGCACTACCAGGCGTTAGGACCAACGTTCGTTCGCTTGACCGAGCAACATTCAAACCTGCTTTTTTTGGCAGGCAATGGCCAACCTTTGGGGGTTGTCATTAAAACCATTTTCCGTTCAGTGGCGGCAAAAAACTGTAGGTCCTTCACACCTTTATAAGACAACATCAAGGGGCAGCACACCACAAGGCGGAGGAGAAGCTCGGCTAAGCAGTAAGCAAATGCGTAAGCACCAAAAAAAATTTTTTTTTAAAGAAATGTGTGAACTTACAATTAGTTTAAATATTAACTATGTAAATTTACATATGAGTTTCTCATAAGTATCTGGGGGTGCTACAGTTCTTTAAATTGTGTAATAAATGGACGCATAGTGCAAGTAAAATTTGTTTGCTCAAAAGTATGTATTATTTAGCATTAATTAGGTCTAAGTTAATGCTAATTTAGCATTAAATTAAGAGTACTCAGTTAATTAAGTGTAATTACGCAATTTAAATAAAATTTTTCTGTTGCAATTTTTCTGCTGCATGGCAAAGTAAAATATAATTTTTTTATGTATGTATTTAGTACTACTTCAGTGCAGAAATTAGCAAAAAAATTGCTTAAAAATATATATGTAAATATTACTAATTAATTATACAATACATTTATGCAAATATTCAAAAGTATTAAAATTTGGAAGAAAAATTCGGTAGATTGTTATTAACAATAATCAAAAACTTTGTGCTTAGCAAAATTTATATAAAAATTAAATGCAAATTTTGGAAAAAGCTGAACTCCGTTGAATTAAATCAATTTGGCTAATTTATGTCATAAGTATGCATAAATAGGCGTAGCAAAAAATTTAATTGAGTAAAATTTTTAGTTAAAAAATAAATGTTCGTACTATATAACAAAAGATATGCAACTTTATTTTTAACCAACTTCAAAAAAGGAGGAGGTTAATAATTCGTCGGAATATTTTTTTTTTATGCATACCGCGTAACTTTGGGCCACGTTAACCGATTTCTATACTTCTTTTTTTTAAAGGAAAGGTGGTAACTCCTGGGATTTTGAAGAATTTAACGATATTCTTATTTTTTTTTTATAATTTTGGAGTCGGTTTTGTTTTTTGCTTAAAAATTACTTGTTTAATTAAGTATTCTTCCTGAAATATTAAATTTTACATATCGAAGGCTGAGTGGAAGTGACCTACTTATCTCGGCAGCCAATTCGATAACGCACTATCTCAGAAATCGTTTCAAGAACACCCTATTTCAAAATTTGGTTAAAGAACGCCTTACTTCAGAAGTCGTTTGAACAACGCCCTATCTCAGGTGCCGATTAAAAAACGCCCTATCTCATCACATTTCAATACATTTTGAAGCGAGTTAGGGCGTTTTTTAACCGAATTCTGAGACAGGACGTTTTTCAATCAAAATGTGAGATAGGATATTCAATAACATTCTGAAATAGGGCGTTCTTGAAAATTTTTTGAGATAGAG